AATGGAGGGAGGATATTCAAGCAGGCTAGCTAGGCAGGTATTAATGCAGAAGAGATCCAAACCAGAGGAAGAAATAAGACTAGAAGGAAATAAGAAATGAGAGTAGCAAAGGAAAGACAAGAGAGAACGTAGAGATGTATCAGAGAGAGAAAGAAAGAGAAAAGAGAGAGAGAGAGAGAGAGAGCGGTATTTATACTGATGGGCAGCACTGGCGGCCCGGGTAACAGTCTTCACCACATTCGAGTAGACAGGACTCGCTGGCGACGGAGGTGAGCTGGGAGCTGCCTGGGCGCAGGGAGTTCTCCTCGCTCCCCGGGTAGAACTCTGGCTGGACGGTGGACGAGTGGATTCCATACGCGTGGAGGCACTTTCTAACGTGCCTTGCAAGGGCCATGTACCTGTCGGAGCCTTCACCCTTGATGTCGAAGCTGACCTGGATGTGGAGCGAGGCGACGAGCTTGGTGTCGCTTAGCTGCCAGACGTGGAAGTGGTGGCAGCTGATGATACCGGGAAGCTGCTCGATGTCCTCGATGATGTGGTCGATGCTGAGGCCGGCGGGCACGGCCTGGAGGAGGATCCTGGAGGCGGCCTTGCAGAGCGGGATGGCGGAGAAGAGGATGATGACGGTGATGAGCAGGGAGATGGCCGGGTCTGCGTAGTAGCGCCAGGTGTAGTCTGTGAGCCAGATGAAGAGGGCCGAGACGATGACGCCGATGTTGCCGAGGGCGTCACCGAGGACATGAAGAAAGACACCGCGCATGTTCAGGTCGTGGCCGTGGCCGTGGCCGCCGTGTCCCTGCTGAGCCTGGCCATGGGCGTGCTCGTGGGCGAGGTCGGCGGTGTCCTTGACCTTTGCGTGGTTGTGCTGGTCGTGGATGTCAGGAGTCTTACGGGGCTGGACAGAAGTGGCAGCGTAGGGCGTGGTGGTGACTTTTGGGGCGTTGGGTAGCAGCCGGGACTCCTCGGACTGGCGGAGGTCTTCCCTGTCGGACTCTGAGTCTGGCGAGGGCTCGTCTTCGAAGCGGCTGGCCTGGATGATGTCCTGGCGCAGGCTCGCCGGGTGGCCGCTGATGTCCTCTGCGTCTCTGAACCCGCTGTATCGTCTGCTCTCGCGGCTGACCCGGCTGATGGAAGGATGGTGGCGCGAGTGCTGGCGCGCGGTGGGCGAGCTGGGGATGACGATGCTGTTGGTCAGGGTGGTGGGCGTGAGGGGGGAGGAGGAGGAGGGCGGCGCCGCGATCTCGCGGGAGTAGCCCAGCTCGGCGGACTCGATGGGCTCTTCGGCGCCATGGCCGTGACCGTGTCCGCCGTGCGAGTGGTCGTGGAAGAGGAGGAGGCCGAGGATGTTGGAGAGCAGGCCGAGGGCGCCGACGATGCAGATGAGCTTTGGGTGCTCGACGGTCTGGGGCTCGACGAAGCGATTGATGGCCTCGAGGAAGATTGGAGAGACACAGGGCGAC